CTAACTATAGAACTAAAATGGCTTTACCACAAAATCCCAACACTCAAAATCCTGACACTCAAAATCTTGACATCAAAATCTTGATATTATAAAACCCAACACTACTAAAATCCCAACTCTACCAAAATCCTGATACTACAAAATACTAAAATCCTGATACTAAATAAATCTCAGTACTACAAAAATCCTGACATTTCTGAAATCCTGTCTACTAAAATCCCAACACATAAAATCCTGACACTACAAAAATCCTGACACTACAAAAATCCTGATACTACTATATTATTAAATCCTCTGATATTACCAGTTATACCAATCATTACAGCTGTTGTCATAAATTTGCCAAATAATTTTTTGGCTGATTCAAGTAATTTTATTATTGTAAGGTAGATATACACTAAAATTAGGGATATAGACCATGATATTTATAATTATATGCTAATTCTTACATTATATATCATAAAGCTTTTGATTGGATAAATGTGTACTCTCATTTAAGGCTGCAAATTCATTATTCGAATTAGGTTCGTTTAAATTATTGGCCGTATCATCTTTTGGGTGTACCTTATTTTCAGAATAATCTTGAGTATCTAAGAATGAAAAAATTTTTAATAAATTTCCAATAATTAACCTATTAAATATAACATAAATATTCTACCAAGATTATCTTTATTTGATTTATCGTGATTATAATTTGTTATATTGTCTTTCAGATATTTATTTTCAGAAGTAATTTGATTACATAAGAGAAAAGTTTTAATAAATTGTAAATAACTAACCTACTAAATATAAAGTAAATATGTTACCAAAATTATTGCTATATGATTCATCATAATTATAACCATTGTTTGTATTGTTTTTTGGATATATATTATTTTCAAAATCAACTTGATTATCTAAATTATAATGAAATTAAATAAATCTTAAATATAAAATAAATAGCCTACCAAGATTATTGCCATTTGATTCATCTTGATTATTTAAATAAATATTCATGTTGAATAAAATGAAATAATAGATTATAAAAATAAATTCTGTAATATTTTAGTTTACCTTCA